TAAAAAGTGAGGAGAAATTAAGTTTATCAGAGAAACAAAACGAGATTCATTACCTACAGACCTCCTTTCTAATAAATATTAAGGGAAGTTCTTTAAGAAGAGATATTATAAAAGCCAGAAACTTGGATCCATACAAAGAAATGAAGAACCATAGAAATAGATGCTCTCTGTGGTGAGCATGTTAAAAATCTAATCTTGGGACTGGGGATGTGGCTCAAGTGGTAGCGCGCTGGCCTGGCATGCGTGCGGCCCGGGTTCGATCCTCAGCACCACATACAAAGACGTTGTGTCCACCGATACTTGAAAAATAAATATTAAAAAAAAATTTAAAAAAATAAATAAAAATCTAATCTTTTGGCAATTTTGAAATATATATTATTATTAACTGTGGTCACTATGCAATAAAATAGGTCACTAAAACATATTCCCCAGTCTATTTGAAACTTTGTACCCTTTGATCTACATCTCCCCTTTCTCTGTCCTTCTACTTCAGTTATCATTTTAAGTGTAAATAATCCAAACATACAAGTTAAAGGAGAGATAGTTAGGTTGGATTAGAAAACAAGACCCAATGATATGCTTTCTACCAGAAATCCACTTTAAATATGAAGTGTTTAGTAAGTTAAAATTGAAAGAATGAAGAAAAATTTACTATGCATACTCTCACCAAAAGACACCTGGAGTAGCTGTATTAGTTTACAACAAAGTAGACTTCAGAACAACAATGGATTAGGGATAGAGATGGACATAACATATTAAGGAGTCATTGCTCCAAGGAGTCATAGTAATCCTAAATGTATATGAACCTAACAAAAGAGCTTCAAGATACAACTGGACAATCTAGAGGAGACATGGAAAGATTCACACTATAATGGAGGATTTACCATTTTTCTGTCAGTAATTGATAGAGCATGTAAGCAGACAATCAGTAAGGATTTGGATATCTGAATAGCAAATATTACCAGCCAAGTTGACCAAACTGACATTTATAGAACATTTCATCCAACAACAACATAATACATATTCTTCTCAAATACATACAAATACAAACAAAGGCTCATAAACTTTTTTCAAATTTTATTTTATTTTGAAACAGGGTCTCCTTATGTTGTCCACACTGGCCTTAAACTGGCCTTGCTTCTGCCTTGCCTCCCCAAAAGGCTAGTTTTGCTGAGTATAGAAGCTGTAGTTTGAGCTCAAGGTATAATTCAGTGGTAGAACACTGGCCAAGAATATGTGAGACCCTGAAATTATGGGTGTGCACCACCAAGCCTGGCAAGGCTCATAAACTTAAAAAGTAAAACATCTAGTGCTGGTAGCTCTGTGGCAAAGCACTTGCCTAGCATGTTTGAGAACCTGAGTTCTGTCCCCAGCACCCAGCCCCACAAAACTGTATATCTTTGAGAGATATTCTATATCTCATATATCTCCCAGAATATAAACTCAACTCCAGGGATAAGGATTACTGAGTGAGAAGGGGCATGAAATCATCTTTCAGAAACTGTATATCTGGGGATGGTAACATATAAATATCTACATATGTAACAATTCTTCAGGCTGTAAATTTAAAATTAGCATACATTACACATTTTACTATATTTAAAAAAAACAATGTAGTGATTTCCTAATTTCTATTATAGTTTAGGAGTCTGAGTGACCTGCTTCCAGCCTACTTCTCCATTCTCATTCTATTCCCAAACTTCAGGCAAATTATTTTTCCTATCACAGGGCCTTTGCACATATCATCCATTCCACCAGGACCCACCCAATCAACCATTTATTTTTCTTTGGGGTGCATTTTGAATTTCCTCTGGGAGGCGTTTCCTGATCTCTAAGTCCAGATTAGGTGCCTGATAATGTGTTAGTGTTTCTCTTTTGTAGTACTCATCTCACTATAATTATGTCACAGGCTCCATGAGGCTGTGAAAAAAAAGTGAGATCTCATAAAGAAATGAGATCTTTTATGAATAATCTTTACGAATCAAGTCTGCCTTGTTGCTGTTTTATCTTAAAATGCCTGGTACATAGTAAATGCTCATTCAGTATTTTTCCAAATGTTAATTTTCAAAGTGAGGCTCAGATTAATTTAACAAACTAATAGGCAAGCCTCAAAATATAAGCTAGAATACAAGCCCATCAGCACATCCTGGTAACTGTATTTCCAAGGTATATCCCCAATCCGTCAATTTTTCTCATCTCTTTGTTGCAATAGTTTCCACCTGATCTGTCTGGTCCCAGTTCTTATTTGTTATGGGTTGGATTGTTGTGTAATAGTAAGATATGGATGCTTCTTTAGCATAGCAAGACTAATACTTGTTTCAACTCCTGCTTAACAAGAAATTGCTGTTAAAATCGGGAATAAGATGGAAGTGTTTATTACTGTTTAACATTATTCTGGAGGTTCTAAGCAATGCATTTAGACAAGATTAAAAAACAGGTGCTAGGTGCAGTGGCACATGCCTCTAATCCCAGTGACTCAGGAGGTTGAAGCAGGAGGATCACAAATTGGAGAACAGCCTCAGCAACTTGGGCCCTAAGCAACTTAGTGAAACCCTGTATCAAAATTAAAAAATATTTTTAGAAAGGTCTGGGGATGTGGGCTGGGGTTGTGGCTCAGTGGTAGAGTGCTTGCCTAGCATGTGTGAGGCACACGGTTTGGTTCTCAGTACTGCATACAAATAAATAGAGGTTCATGGACACTAAAAAAAAAAAGGAGATATATATATATATATATATATATATATATATATATATATATATATGGTCTGGGGATGTAGTTTACTGGTAAAGTGCCCCCTAGGTTCAATCCCCAATGCAAAAAAAAAAAAAAAAAAAAAAGAATATAAAAATTGGACAGCAGACATAATTTCACATTACTTATAGGTGATAACCTGAGAGAATTAATTAAAAACTATTATGTATGATGAGAGAATTCATTTGGTAGTAACTAGGTTTTAAAAAATTAAAAGATCTCATTTCTTTATCTCTTACAAAGATAAAGCACCTGGGAATGAACTTAATAAGAAATGCTAAGATCTGTACTAAGAAAACATTCGGGTGGTACCGCAGGGACACAAATAGAAAGGTACACTGTGTTCTTGATAGGAAGATGTTCATTCTCTCTAATTAATCTATAATTTTAATGCAGCCTCAATGCAGATGCCGATAGGAGTCTGTTTGGTAATAATACAGTATAAGAGCTATGATCCTAAATTTGAATGGTGTCACAGGGCTTTGCCTCAGCACCATTTCTTTAAACATTTTTTTCTGCTTTTATTTTGTTGAAAAAGATGTATAAAAAGTTTTTTTTTTTTTTTTTTTTAAACTCTAAGCATACTGGAACAATTAAGGACTCATGTCATTTGGCTCTATCATATAGAAGGAGGAGGAAGATTTATCTTTGTAAAGATACAACTTGTCATTATTTACTTCCTGCAGAAGGTAGGTGTACCTAATACTTCACAGACAACCTTAAATAACCCATCCATTCAGTTGGCTCAGACGATTCCTGGGGTATGTGTTTTGCTGCCACGCTGTCTTGATGAACGCCAGTAACAGAGTTCCTAACCCTGGATCTATGACAGTGGCCTTTTATGGAAGGAGCAGTCAGCTGGCAGCAGCTCCCCTAGCAATCTTTCAAGCTAGGATTGCCTATAGCTGGCAGAATGGAAGATAATTTGGGGGAGGAGGGCAAATATTTGCTAATAAGAACACTAGAGAACTCTTAACGTTTTTGGGGGGATAAAACAAAAAGAAACAAACAAAAAAATCACGAGTGCTCCTGAGCTAAAAGGAGGCCAGCCATATTTCTATTCATCAATAGACTCTGAACTTGGCCTTTTGCATTCTGTTTCATGTGTACATCCTTCCCTTCACCCGGCTCTAGAAAACACTGTTCACTTTGTGCAGGGGCTAGACATTTGGGAGTTGATTGAGACTTAAAGTCTGTGGAACACAGAGAGATCCCAGTGAGAAGCCAGCCCCTTCTACCATTTAAAGAAATTCTGGGGTCTGGGGGATGTAGCTCAATGGCAGAGTACTTGCCTAGCATGTGCAAGTAGGTTCCATCCCCAACAACATAAAAATGAAAACAATCAAATTCTGAAAGGGTGTGATATTAAGTTTTTATCACCCAAGAGGCCTCTAGAGCCAGATTGAGTGCACAACCTGGCTTTGCCATTTTTGGCTAAATTTATTGTCTTTAAAATCAGGCAGGCCAGGTGTGGTGGCACATGCCTATAATTCCAGTGACTTGGGAGGCTGAGGCAGGAGGATTGCAAGTTCAAGGCCAGCCTCAGCAATTTAGGGAGAGCCTGTCTCAAAATAAAAGGGGGGGAAGCTGGGGATGTAGCTCAGTGGTACAGCACCCCTGGGTTAAATCTCTAGTACCCATTCTCCCTAGAAAGTTAGCATTTCTTATTAAGTTCATTCTTAGGTGCTTTATCTTTGTAAGAGATAAAGAAATGAGATCTTTTAATTTTTTAAAAACTGTGTCTCAGTTTCCTCATTTGTTAAACAGGAGTAATATCTACCTTGTGGAGTTGTGAGGATAAATAATTTGTGAGGATTAAATAAATTAATTAATAAAGTATTTAGAATCCTGCCTGACATGTTGGCAATTTCTGGCCAAAGTTGTGTTATTACCTTATTATCTGAATTACATATGTGGGTTTCTCACAGAAATACCTTTGTGGGGTTAATTATATTTTAATATCTTGACCTTTGCCTCTGATATTGCCCTGATGGATTAGGGTTTCTATTTAAATCCCAAGAAGCTAGCCAGGTGTGGTAGCGCAGGCCTATAATCCCAGCAGTTTGGGAGGCTGAGGCAGAAGGATCGCAAGTTCAAAGGCAGCCTCAGGAATTTAGCGAGGCACTAAGCAACTCAGTGAGACCTTGTCTCTAATAAAATTCAAAATAGGATTAGGAATGTGGCTCAGTGGTTGAGTGCCCCTGATTCAATTCCTGGTACCACACCCCCAAAATCCCAAGAAAATAAATTATTTGAATCTCAATCTCCTCTTTATTTGCATGTGGTTAAATTCATAAATATACTTGCCATTTTTCCCCCTTCCCAAACTCTCCCCCATACCTAGTAACCCTTCCCAAACCCCAGTTTTCATTGACTTGCTTTCCTCTCCTCCAGGAGGTAAGAGGAGGGATGGTCCTCCACATAACTTCATCTTCATTCAGGGTCCATCTCAGTTCACATGAAGTATGGGCCCTCAAAGGGTCTCTGAAACTCGGGGATGAGCACCACAAATCCTTTAGAGGTCCCAGGATGTCCTTGCAAGTGAACATGTGACTGGCTCCCCTGTGTGCCATGCTTTGGATGCAGAGTGCCACAGTGGGCAGAAGTTTAGCGTCATATGCCCTGTCGGTGCCTGAGGCTGAGCTGCTGCAGCCCCAGTGGGCAGGTGGGTCTGCAATAAGTTCTTGGGCTTGCTCAGGCAGTGGTGAGAGTCCTGTAGTGGGCACTGTACCCAGCGAGTACGTGACCCTGCTCTCCAAGAGGTGTCTGAGGCCCGGTCCTTTAAAGCTCTGCCTCTCAGGGCCCTGCGCAGGCTCCATGTGAGTTCTGTGTGGGTAGGCAGCCTCCGAGGAGAAGGTGCTCTTGGGCCTCTCTTTTCCTTGTGTTTCTCAGACACCGTCAAACATGGGTGACCAACTAGCTCCTTGGGCCCCTGTTAGAGGGCATGGCAACCCATTGTCTCTGTCTCAGCCAGATGCCAAGCTTTCCCATCTTCTTGGTAGGGTGTAGAGAGCTCAGAAGATACAGGGGCACCCTCTTCAGGAATGGGGTATGGAGGCTCAGGGGGAGCTGTGGGGTCTCCAGGACCCCGTGTTCCCCCCAGTACTGGACCATTATAGATGTAGATGTTGCCAGTGACGGTCACAGAGCCACCGGTGACATGAATGCCATTGGCACCTGGGGGAAGGGAAGTGGAATGAGAGACGTCAAGGGAGCCTCGTGAAGGAATGCCCCATAATGGAGCAGACTGCTGCTCCCTGAAATCTTCCAGCCTCCCGCTCTTCCCTCCCTGTCCCCTTTCCCATTTGCTACTGGCTTCTTGAGCTCTAGGTATATTTCTGTTTCTGAGTTTTCCGCTCTTCCTCTCTCTAGTTGTGACACTCTGGCTGGTTGTCAGGAACTCTGTCTTGACTCTGCTTTGGTCTTTTTGTTTCATCTGGCCATATTTCCCCTCCGTGCTACCATCCCTCCTTTTGCTTCTTTAACATCCCTTCCTCTCCACACTCCCTTCTCCTTGCTGGCCTGCCCAGGCTCACTCACCATGGGCCACATGGCCTTGCTCCCCAGACTCGGCCTCCAACTCCCTGGTCTGGATCAGAGGGCTCTGCTGTTGTAGCACCACTTCCTCCAAAGCTGGAGTTGGTGGGGGCCCACCAGGGGCTGGGGACAAGTCTCCAGAGTTGGGCAGAAGTGGCTCTACCAGGTCAGGGAAATGTGGGTTGGCTTTCGGAGGAGGACACGAAGGGGATTCCTCCCCCTATGGAAGAGAGACAGAGAATCAACCAATGATAAATGACAGAGATCCCCATCTTTTATATCCTATGCCATGCTTCAGCAATTCACTACCAGTTTCTGCTCCTCACCATGCCCCCTTCCTCAGGGCCTTTGCACTTGATGCTCCCCCCACTTCCTAGAGCACTTTCCCCAAGACACCTCTCTGGTGGGCTCCCTCATTTCTTCTCTGCACAAATAGGAGCTACCAGAGAGGCCTTCCCTGTCCACTCTGTTTAAAATAACATACCCCGATCCTTTGTCACTGTTCCCCTTCCCTGCTTTATTTAGTATTATATTAACCTGATATTTGGTTTATAATTCTTATTCCCCAGCATGTAAACTCTAGGAGGGGCGGTGCTTTCCTTTGCTCACTGCTGTACCCCCATTTCCTAGCACAGTGCCTCGTACATGGCTTAATAAACTATTAGTTGAATGAATGAATGTTGAAGCCTGAAGAGTTTTTCTGGTCTGCTCCCTGCTGTACCTCATCACCTCCGCCCCTTCTTGCTGTCTTCTCAGCCTCCCCCATTACCTCTGGATGCGTCTTGAGCAGAGATCCTGCAATGCAAAATGAAATGGGTGAAAGGCCTCCAGCCCTGGCCTTTCCCCCCGCCACACCCCATCCTCCTGTGTTGCTGCCCATCCTGGGATCCCAGAAAGAACAGGCTGTTATTACTCTGTCCCCTGCCTCAGAATGAGGGCTTAGGTGGAGAGAATGACATTTATTTTGGGGGACAGGCATTAAGAGCTTTGAGGGGGTGGGAAGAGGTAGAAGAGTTTGCACTGGGGAAGTTGAATATCCCTCCCGACTCCCAACCATCCATGTGGGAGCTGAGGGCATCTCCTTCCTACCCAGTTTCCTGCAGAGAGAGGGATGGCTCTTCCAGGTGCAGGCGAGGACAGTGGTGAGGAGCAGAAAGGAGACCAATGGCAGCAGGATGGCCAGCACCAGCATGGTTCCTGCCAGGACAACAGATGGGGCGGGTGGTGTGCGTGTGTGATGATGGCTGGAAGGGCAGAGGGGGAGGAAGCCAAGGAGGAGGCTTCCTGTTCTCTGGCAACTCAGACAGAGAAAAGGGGGAGCAACTTTTTTCCTCTGGTCATAATGTAGAATTAGAGCCATTTCCCTTGGGTTGTAGAGAAGGGAACTAAGCTGGGCTTGGGGAGGACCTCTTGACAGCCACAGAGACCCTGTTGTGGAGAGATATGCTTAGGGTAGTGTACATGCCTCTTGCTCAGAGACCACCAATGGGGCTGCCTTGTGGGTGAGAGATGGGAGCTTGGGCAGCTGGTTTTCAAAGGGCTGGAAGTGGTGGGTGGGAGGCAGTAGGGGAGGGTTAGTCTTGGGGTTGTAAAGACATTCAGGACACAGGGTAGAGCCACATTTCTGTGGACTTGGCCATCTTACATACAGACCACTGCAGAGGAGCTGGGATTGCTGCTGTATATGTTACACCTGGGTTTCTTCCCCGTGGTGTGATTTTAAGTCATATCATTTATTTAAATATCAAATTTTCATACACAATATAAGCAGGTTAGCTTATATACTCTCTAGTCATTTCTAGCTCTAACATGTCAGTTGTATTTGATACATAATTAAAAATTCTGAGAGGACATAGAAAGATATTTAGGATATACTGTTGAGTGAAAAATCAGTTTACAGGGGTTGGGGTATAGCTTAATGTGAGAGCTGTGCTTAGCATGAGTAAGGTCTTTGGGGTTCAATCCCCAGTACCAAAAAAGGAAAAGAAAAGGAAAGAAAAGAATAATTAGGTTATAAAATGTTAAAATCACTCCATTTTAGTTAAAAATTTCTATGTATACATATGCACAAGAAAATGTCTGGGAGAATATATATCAAAATAATAAAAGTGAATATGCTAAGCAATGGCTCTGTGAGTAAGTTTGTTTTGCTTTAGTTTTGCTTATTCTGAATTTTCTAATTTTCCACGGTGTGCATACATTATGGCACGGAATTTAGAGTAAGAAAGACCTAAATACAGATCTTAATAATTCCAGTTACCACCTGAGTGATCTTGGGTAAGTCACTTAATTTCTTTGATTTCCATTTCTGCATTCTGTCAGTGAGGATAATAATAGGATCTCCTTTGTAGAATCATTAAGAGGATTAAATGAGATAGTGAATGGAAAGTGTTTAGATTGCCTAACATAGTTCTCAATAAATGGAAGCTATATGTCAGCTATAATTAAATCTCAGTGTTGGAGTATTTCTTGGCATCTTATTATATATAACTTTAAAAGTGTGTGTACTGGTCAGAATGGCAGTCCTCAAGAATACAAATAATAATAAATTCTGGAGAGGATGTGGAGAAAAAGGAATACTTTTACATTGTTGTTAATTAGTAAATCCACTTGGAAATCAGTGTGGAGGTTCCTCAAAAGACTAGGCATAGAGCCACCATACTGACCCAGCTATTCCACTACTTTATATTTACTCTGAAGAATTAAAGTCATCATACTACAGTGATACATGCATACCCTTGTTTTTAGCAGCACAATTCACTGTAGCCAAACTATGGAACCAGCTTAGGTGCCCATCAATGGATGAATGGATAAAGAAAATGTGATATATATATAATGGAGTTTTATTCAGAAAAAGAAAAATGAAATTGTTATTTGCAGGAAAACGTATGCAACTAGATATCATTAAGTTAAGTGAAGTAAGCTAAATGCAAAAAGTCAGGGGTCATATTTTTCTCTCATATGCAGAAGCTAGAGAGGAAAAAGGAAAAAAAAAGGTTTGTGGGGGGAAGGGATCTCGTGAAAATCAAAAGGAGGTCCATAGAGGAAAGGGAGTGGGGAATAAAGGCAGGGAGGGAGGGGGAAGTGATATTGGACAAATTATATTGTTATAGTGTGTGTATGTACAAACAGGTAACAACAAATCCCATCATTATGTACAACTACACTGCACCAATAAAAAAAAATGTGGGAAAAAAAAAAGTGTCCTGACCCCACCTTGTGTCCCTCAGTCCTCACTCCTCACCTGGCATCTCAGGAGGCAGTGGCTCTGGTGGTTTTATGCAGATTGTGTCAGATTCGGGGGTGCCTGGAGCTTCTTCCACCAGGCCTTGGTCCTCACACCTGCAGAAGAAAGAGGATTGATTGTGATCTCCTGCTCCTGTCTCCAGTGCCTAACTCAAGGGATACAGGGTGGAAGTGGCCAAATGAGCGCATGGAATCAAGGATGGGAGCAGCTGGGCTTCTTTGAGGGTAGAAAGGCATAGGCAGGGGCACTCACCTGGTGTGGGGTAGGCAGTGGGCGTAGCGAGAGGAAGTGTTCTGGAAGTGTCCTGCCTTACAGGGGATACAGTTGTTGTCATCCTCCCTGATTTCATCTGGCAAGAGAAAGGAAGGCCAGCACAGGTGAATGGGCAAAAGGACCCTATAAAGGGTCTCCTGTTTGCCAACCACCCTGTGTTGTAGCTCTCACCTTCCCCAGCTCTGCTCTGCTGCCTGCCATTTTGCCCATGCTTCCTCAATGCTGAGAGGAGCCCCCTGTGCTCCAGCATCCATCCCAATTCCATTTCCCTGCAAACCCCTTCTGTGATTCTTTTGCATGGAATGAGAAGAAGCATTTTATGCCAAAGAGACTACCTGGCATTGGCCATGGCACAGTTCCATGCTCCCTGCCCTCACTCAAGCTCAACACTCAGCCTCCTTTCGTTATCTGCCCTCAGTGACCTCTGACCTTTAAGCTCGACTTCAGTGCCGGGCGGGCACTCTGAAAGTAGATCACAAAACACACACTCAGGGGCTCGTTGGGCACAGAACATTCCTGGCTGGCAGCGACACTCAGTTTTGCGATGGCTGGTGCAAGGCGCAACCTCCTTGAAGCCCAGCACTGGTGGGGAGATGGGAAAGCTCAGAGAAGGGCTATGCTCCAGGAAGTCCCAACCCTGAGCACATCTCCACTCACCTGGGTCACAGGGGCGGCACATCTGGCAGATGGTGAGGTGGTTCCAGTGCTCATTGTAGGAGTTTTCAGCGCACATGGCACAATGTGTGTCCTGGCTATGGTTGCATTCAGCTGTGACATAGGTGCCTAGGATATGAGTGGGGCAGCAACAGGGTGTCAGGACAGCTGGCATTCCACCGTCACCTCTGCTGCTTGCTTGCTTGGTGACTCCAAGCCTATCCTCAGTCTCCTTGCCCCCTGCATCCTACATGGCTGTCCAGCTACTTTTCAGTGAGGAAAAGGACTCAGAGGCCCACTGAAGAGGGCAAATCTCAGTGCCTGCATATGAAACGGCCCATGTTTCTCACTGTCACTATGGACACTCACTGTGGACAATGTCCACCTTTCCTCTAACCCACCTCCATGCCCCAGGCTTCCTGGGACCACCGCCTCTCACCTGGGGGGCAGCGGGAGCAGCAGAGCTGATGCTTGGGTTCGTAGTACTCCTTTTCCTGGTCCCAGCAGGTTTGGTTCTTCGATCTGTATGGGGGCACCTTCAAGGGGAGAAGGAGGTGAGGGAGAAGAATGAGTCAGGGGTCAGCGTGAGAGGGCAGAGGGACTGGAGAGCAGGCTGCTCACACCCTCTTCCCTACCATCACCAGCCACTGGGCCCCTCCCTCACCAGCTGGGGCTGGGATGTCACTAGGAGCCCGCAGAGGCCCAGCAGGAGTGACCCCCAGGCCAGGCCGCAGGGAAAGACCGCCCAGGGCAGGCGCATGGCGGCCACTGGACCCGTCGACCAGGCGTGTGGAGGCCTGGGAGGAAGGTGGGAAGCCTATACGTCCAAAGCGGCGATGGCGGCTGCTTCCCAAGCCCAGCGGCTGGGCCGACGTGCCCCCCGGGGCCGGGAGCGGCCGGGCCTGGCCTCCAGGGCTCCAGCGGCCAGGCTCAGGAAGTGGGAGTGGAGCTAGCCGGCCGCGGGGGCGGGGACAGGGAGCGCTGGGAGCTAAGACCGGCCTGTCGCAATCGCAATGGGGGAAGAGGAACAGGCTTGGCTGCCTAGATGCAGGGCGGGAGGGGGTGGCCGGGAAAGCACGTGAGGACAGCAGGCCCGGAACCCGGCCTCCTCCCTTCTTCGGAAGCCTGACCAGGAGAGAAGGACTGCCAGAACAGGAGGGCCCAGCTGGTGGGAAAGGGGCAACAGACAATGGACAGCCCTCAGGCAGGCCTCCAAGAGCCTGGACCCAGAGGAGTGTACAGATAGATGGGTGCCAGATCTGAAAAATGGAGGTTCCAGGGACCGACGGAGTGCATTGAGCAGAGACTCAGGAACAACCAGCAGAATGTAGCTGTCTGGAACCCAGAATTCCCTCTTGGCAGACGCCTGCGTGCCTGCCCTGCTCTGTGACTTTTTAAGACAAACTAGAAGGGATAGCAAGTCAGATGGGTCTCCACCCTGCTGACCCAACCCACTAGGCAACTTGAGAGAGTGCAGCTGGTCCTGAGCCCAGAGAGAGTGGAGAGGATGTGCAGACTGAGTTCCTGATGAGTGGGCACAGCTGGGCAAGCCTAGTCCCAGCTTCCTCACCCAAGTGCAGCCCCCTCACCTTCAGGAGGAGACTGAGGCTCAGGGTGCCAGGTACAGGAGACCCAGATTCCAAGGTTATTTAGCCTGGTGCCTGCCCCCTTTCTTTCCACCATCTTCTTTCAACCTATTAACCCTCCCCCAGGGCTTTTGCAGTGTTGCCGCCAGCCTATTGGGTCTCCAAGTTTCAGTGCTCTTGGCTAACTCCTGTCTGTGCTTGAGGAGACACTCTGGCTCTGGGAAGCATCTGCTAGACCAGCTGCACCTCCCTAGGAAAGCTGTCTCTGTACCCTGCTTTCTTAGTAGACTCTGCAGTGACTAGAACCAAATGTTTGAATCTAGCATACGCTGACTCATACCACGTGCCCAATACAGATTTATGGAATAAATGAACAATGTGCACCTTGCTTAACCGGTCCATGAACTGGACCAGGGTCCAGAGCTCCTGATTTCCAGGTCCCAGATCATTTCAGCAACCACACTGCCTCCTTGTAACTCAGAGGTGTCTCCTTTGGGATGAGGGGCTAATTTTTCCCTTGAGATAGGTCACTTGTACTTGTCCCTGACAACCTCTGTTCAGCACTCATCTTTACCCTGGTTGGTAGATGGCCATGAAGGCTCTTAGTGGAGAAGACAGGAAATGTTGGTGCAGGAGTATGGGGAGGAGATGTTACAAAGACTGAAAGGATCTGCCTGAGTGTTAGACTCTGTGAGGAGCTCTCTCCTCACCAGCAGTCCTAGCACCTGCATGCTGTTGGCAACTGTGAATATGAATGAGCCATGGCTGCCTGGAGAGGGAAGAAGTATCTAGACAGTGGGCACTGCTCAGGGCTGCAGCTCTTTCCAGATCTAGGGTATTGGGCTCACCCTGAGCTCTTAAATGCATAAAGGAATGGGCATCTAGTGGCTTTAAATCCTTTTTTCACTTTTAAAAAATTTTTTATTATGGAAATTTTATAACATAATAAACAAAGTGAGAAAAAAATAATATTGGGACCTGCTATGTCCTCATTACCCCTTCAACTCACGGTCAGTTTTATTTCTTTGTATGCCTCCTTCCCACACTAACATACATGCTCTGTTAATCCCCCTTGATTATTATGAAGCACATTCAAGACATCATGTCATTTCATTTAAAAATATTTCAGGCTTTTACTCTAAAAGAAAGAGACTCTTTTAGTTGAGATAAAACATGAATGAAGTGTATGAAGTACACAAATCTTATACATACAGGTAGGAAATATGAATTGGTGAATTTTCAACCTCAAAGATTCTGTGTATCCCTCTAGAACATTTCTTGCACTACAAAAGGTTGCTGCATGCCCTTTGCAGGCACAGATAACCACTGTCTCAGATCCTTTTTAACCTCAGCAGGCTGAACTGGGCTTCTTTTCTTGTGCCAGTAAGCAGCTGATTCACTTTGGTATCTGTTCTCCACCCTTTCCATGTATTGGGAACTACATTTCCCAGACTCCTTTTACTCTGGCTTCTGCATAGGTTCAGCCAATAGGAGGCACTGGTAAATGACAAGTGGGTGAGGAGAGAAGACGCCAGGCCATCTCTCCCATTCTGTTTTCTGGCATCACCTGTGGCTGGTTATATTTCTTTCTATACTCCTTCCACAATCCCATTTCCTACTGGGGAGTCCCCACTATTTAGTTCCCGCTAAATAGCTTTGCGAGCTTCTTGGTCTCTAATGCTGGGATACCCTTCTGTCTTCCAGCCTAAAGGAGGGAAGCTGCTTCCTGCTCTGTTACTTTCTTACTGTCTCCATTACCCATATACCAATTCCTTGTTAATTTTTTTTTTTCCATTTGGAAGAGTGTTTCATATTTCCTACCTGGCCTATGACAGACACATCAATAAATAGCTGTTATGCCTACCCAATTGACCCTTGGAGGACAGAGACTCACAAAGACAAAAAAACCCATGATTTCTTGTGGGCAGGGTACCATCTTCACTTTTTTCCTTTCATGTTCTTTGCCAGCTTCCTTGAAGTTTTACTGAGGTCCACTGGGCAGCACCAGACCCAGACTGAGTGTCCCATACACACTTAGAACATATGAAAGTGATGTGGTGGTACACGCCTGTAATCTCAGTGGCTCGGGAGGTTGAGGCAGGATTGTAAGATCAAAGCCAGCCTCAGCAATTTAGAGAAGCCCTGTCCCAAAATAAAAAAATAAAAATGGCTGGGGATGTGGCTCAGTGGCTAACTGCCCCCTGGACTCAATCCATTGGTACCCCAAACAAAACAATAGCAATAATAACACAAGTGACAGTGGGGTCTCCTCCCAGGCCTTCTTCAGAGCAGGTTACTGAGAGGTCCTTCTTCCCACAGGCCCTTGAAGAATTCCAAAAGGAGATCAGTATGAAGAGAGTCTTTCAAATGTTCTTTCTTTCTCTCTTCTGTCCCACACTGCTGGTGCCCTTGGATAGGGTCTGGCAAACACTGAAAAATGAATATAACTGATGAGGGCTGACTTTCTCTGCAGTTGTTCTCAACTGGGTGAATTTGCCCCCCAGAAGACATTTGGCAACATCTTCAGACATTTTTGGTTGCAACTGTTTTGGAGGTACTACCATTTTCTAGGGCATAGAAGTCAAGATGCTGCTAAATAAATATCCCATAATGCACAGGCCAGCCCTCCACAACAAAGAATTATCTGGCTCAAAATGTCAGTAGTGCGGAGGGTGATAAGCCTTGTCTTAACCAAGGGAATAAATTTTTAATGGTGAACTTCTAAGTATTTTTCCAGACCCTATCTGGACTAGACTAAGAGTGAAAGGGAGGGATTTTCTGGTCCATCGTTTTAGATTCATATCCCATAAATAAACACAAAAGGATTGCTGTTTTCCCCAGTATGTATCCCAGGGTGAAGCAGTTTTAAGTGGTAAGACTAAAGAGTTATATTTAGCCAGATTTGGTGGCACATGCCTGTAATCCCTGTAGGAAGCTGAGGCAGGAGGATCGCAAGTTCGAGGCTAGCCTCAGCAACTTAGGGAGACCTTGTTTCAAACTAAGATTTTTTTAAAAAGTCTGGGGATATAGCTCAGTGGTAAAGAGCCCCTGGATTTAATCCCAGTAACAACAACATAAAAAATAGTTGCATTTAATTAACTCATTTTTACTCTAGAAAGGATATAGGCTGCAAAGGAAAAAAGTGAGAGAAATTTAGGTAAATTGATAATTCACAAATAAATGATTTATCAGAGGAAATTAGGATGTTAGATGTTTGGGGTCTTCTTTCTCATTGCACAAGCCTCTCTGTCAAAAATAAATCTTGGGCCTTACCAAAAAGAGGCTAATTCTGCTGTCCTCTGCAGAGTGGATCAACAAATAGTGACCACTAGACACTGAGGTCACCAAGATGAAAAAGCTAGGTCCCTGTCCTCAGAAAACTCACAACATGATGCATACATATGTAAGTATGCACACACACTCTCACTTTCTCTAGCATAATCATAGTAAAGAGCAGCAAGTACTGAGATAGGCTCTCCCTGAGAGTGTGGAGGAGAATGATTCCTTCTATCATTGTTTGTCCCTGGAGCACAAGAGGCAGGAAAAGCTTCCAACTCATAATCTTTATCCTACTGAGGGCCCTCTGGTTTCAGTTCTTTCCATGCAACCATTTTTTTTTTTTTTTTGGTACCAGGGATTGAACTCAGAGGCACTCAACCACTGAGCCACATCCCCAACCCGATTTTGTATTTTATTTAGAGACAGGGTTTCATAATTGCTTAGCACCTTGCCATTGCTGAAGCTGATTTGAACTCTCCATCCTCCTGTCTAAGCCTCCCCAGCCACTGGGATTACAGGTGTGCGCCTGGCTTCTATGCAACCTTTGTACATTTTATGGCCATACCAAGAATTAGAAGGTGGCTAAAGTTTGGGCAGGGCTGGGACTCTGGGAGAGGCTGAGAGGAGCCCTAGAAAGTGGGTGCTTCCTAGATAAGATCAGTAAGACCCCCGACCTCCCATACAACAAGACTCCACTTCTGTCATGTGGGTTTTTTTTTTTTAACCTTTGTTTATTTATTTTTATGTGGTGCTGAGGTTCAAATCCAGTGCCTCACACATGCTAGGCAACGGAGCCACAACCCCAACCAAGACTACACTTCTGGAAGTCAGGGAAGCAGTGTTGAGCTTGGAAGCGGAATTGAGGGTGGTGATGCTGCACAGGGAGGAGGCTTGGTTTTCATTCTGGCCCTACTTCAACTTCTGAGTGACTGTGGGTAAGTCACTTTGCTTCTCTGGGTCTCCGTCTCTCATGACTTGAGCAATGGGCCATATTCAGATTGGCTAGCAAGGCCTTTGAAACCATCTGGCCTGCCTTTCCCACCTCTTCCTATCTCATCATTTTTCAAATGGGAATGCTGGGGCCCAGAGAGATAAATTTCCTGTTCCAAAGTCACACAGTTTAAAAGCAAAAGTGGAAGCCATAGCATAATATTTGTAACATGGTCACACATGAAAAAAATTGTACATTTAATGTAAGAAAATACATATAAATCTATAAGGACACACAAAAAGATACAGGGCTGGGCATGATGGGACATGCTTATAATCCCAGTGACTCAAGAGGCTGAGGCAGGAAGATCACAAGTTCAAGGCCAGCCTGGGCAATTTAGTGAGATCCTGTCTCAAACTAAAAATAAAAAGGGCTGAGGATGTAGCTCTGTGGTAGAGTGCCTCTGGGTTCAATCCCAGTACTGGGGGAAAAATGTGATAGTGACAGATATACAAATTATAGTGGGTCTTTTGGGGCTGAGGGAAGGAAAAGAAATGAAGCAATGAAAACAGTTATTATTCCTTTTACTTGTGTATTGCTGGGAAACGATTGTGACAAAATATATTTGTGTATTATTTTTACACTTTTAAAAGATATTATTTCAAATGGAGCCCTGACAAAAGCACAGGTCTCAGCTTTCTATTTTTCTCACAACAAGCTTGCTCTGGCCCATTCCGGATCTATAATGCTGTGGGCTCTAAGCTGCTCCTGTACCTTGGCAGGACGTGCCAGGATCACCACACTCTCCAGATCAGACCTTGCAGTTCTCAGCCTTTGAGATGAAGACTGTTTGTCATTAATGGCTGGATTTCAGACACCATCTAGCAAACAGAAAAGGGGAGGGGGGGTGCTTCTGAGCACCTACTAGATCAAACAGTTAGAGAGCCACATATCTGTTTGTAGGACCCTAATTTAAGGACCTCACTCATCTAGGGGTGTCTGGGTTCCACAGGGAGGCAGGGATAGTGCAGAGAGAGCTTTTCTCAACCCCAAGGAGACAGTCCAATACCCAAAGAACTGATGAAATCATGGTCTCTACATGGAATTTAACAGTCCCTTCCTGGCTTTCAAATCCAGGTACAGAAGAGCCCTCAAGGAGGAGAAGAATTCTGAATTCTGTTTATAACTCTGATGCTATTCAGTTTTGTGACATCAGGTCAGAAAACCAGCTTATATTTGTGGAGGGCCAGTTCTTTTTCTGGAAAGTGAAGAAAAAGCCAATCTTTCCTTTTCCTAGGGGAGGTTTCACAAGAGATGGCAAGGTAAACCACCAGATTAGGTTTAGAATCCTGGTTAACACCTGCTCTTTTAGAAATCACAAAAGACAGCCACAAGGTCAGTTTGTACCCTGAGCCAGAGGACCCTCCTTCCCTCTTTGCCTAGTGAACTCATTCTTTGCCATCCAGTTGAAAGGCCAGCATCTCTGGGATCTCACCTGGAAGTGAGAGCCTCCCTTGGACTCTCAGAGTGCTTGGTTCTTATCTCTGCCTCTATATCCTTATCTTACTATATATTGCAACTACCTGTTTGTAGGCCTGCTTCTTTCCATGAGCATAGATCAGTGCTCAGGCAGGCCTGGGCTTGCAGGTCGGAGCACATTGGAATGCCCAGGCCTGCTGCTGGAGGGAGGGAGGCAGGAAGAGCCAGTGACCATACTCCTGCACTCTGGGCTGCCTGCTGCAGGACCCAAGGGTGGTAGATCTGACTTGCAAAGGGCCTGAGCTATGTGAATGGATCTCCTGTGACTCCTTGGGTCCTCTTTTGGGGCTAGATTCTCTGACCCTTCCCTTTCCACTCACTCACTGCTTCCATCTTTACTATTTGGCTGCATTATAATTGAATAGAGGTCTTGGAGAAAAACAGCCCCAACTAATTATCCCTCTTCCACAGCAGTGTAACTTGGACCATGCGCACCCTCTTCCTCCCAGACACCCAGAAATGACACATCCCTTTTTGCCCTCTCAGTGCTCTCTGTCCCTGCCTTTCCCTGGGCTCCCAGTCTCCCAGTCTTTACCCACAGTACCCTGCTTGGCCCCTAGGCTACCTCTCAGTGCCCACATTCCTGCAACCCCGTGACCAAACCAGGGGACGTTACACATTCTTGGCCTGGCAGTCAATGGTGTAAAAAAGAACAGAATGTCCCAGGGCCCCACCCATCCCCCAGCTTCACCTGGGCCCCTCCCTGGCCAGGACAAGGCTGAGCAGGGGGGTGGCAAGTCTGGAGGGAAGAGGATGGAGGAGGAGAGAGAGGCAGCAGGGGCCAGCAGTTTTTCCCACTTTTGTGGAGACTCTTCTTTCTCACTAGAACCCAGGGATGAGGCTGATCCTGTGGGTGACTTTGCAGGTGCTCCCACTAGGGGGGATCCTACCTCCTGGAAGCCTTCTTGAGGCTCCCTCCCTTGCTTGCCTGCTTGGAAGAAAGACTCCCTTTGGCTCTCTCCTCTGTACTTTCCACCTCTGCCTCTGTGTCCCAAGGCCCCTCCTTCATCCCTCTGTCTCAGCCCTTCACTCGATCTGTCCTCCTCTTCCTGTCTCCCCTTTCTGCCTTCCCTGTTCTCCTGGTTTCCCCACCCTAGTCTCACTCATCCTGGTGGCTCATCCTCCTTCCTATTTTGCCCTCCTGGCTTTGTGTCCAGGATTCTTCTACCTGTTCAAGATTTCTAATGCTTATCTACCTACCCTTCTCCCCTGCCCAGTCTCCATCAATCCCCAGCCCAGACCCTTCCTCACATCTCCTCCCACCTTCTCAGGTCCCCACACTCCAGCCCCCAGGAGTCCTCCTTCTTTGGAGAGCTCTCAGCCCCAACTCCTCCTCTGCTCCTCCCTCCACCCTGCTCACCTTTAATTGAGATGCTAATGAGGCTTCTGTCCCTTCCATCCCTGGCCAACAGGCAGGCAGGCGGGCTCCCAGGCCAGGCCGCTGCACCTGTCAGGTGAGGGGGAGGAGAGGCTTGGCTGCCAGATTCAACTGGAAAGGAACCAGTCCTAGCCCAGCCACACCTGGGAGTAGGGAGAAGGAGGCAGCTCAGACCTCCTGGAGCCCTGCAGTCCCAGGGCAGAGAGGGAGTCAGGACAGAGCAGGAGGAGAGGGCCCAGGAGGAGAAAGGGAAAGGCTGAGGAGGAAGAGGAAGAGAGGCAGGATCAGAGAGCCTGGCACAGGGAGAGGAGACTGGCAAGGAAGAGGAGAACTGAGAGAGAGAGACCCGAAGAGAAGCTGAAGGCAGGCAGAAGGGGTGAGAGGCAGAAGCCAAGCCACAGTCCTGAAGGAAGAGGGCCAGTGGCCGACTGACCAGCAGGCAGAGGCCTCCTGCTGTGGAGAAAGAAAGGAAGGTGTTAGCGCGGAAAGCAAAAGTGGCCTTATCTGGGAAGCAGAGAGGCCACTCCAGGGAAGCCCAGAGCCAGCTCCTTGGCCCGGACTCCAGCAGGTCAGCTGGCTCCTGGAGAGGTGGAGGAGGGCGGGAGGGAGGAGAGGGGGGAAAGTGGACTCAGGGTGTGATGTGGGCATGGCCCAAGCCAGCCTCACTCTGGGCCCAAGTTGTTGATGAGGGAGGGCTCCCAAAGCCCTGAGCTCAGCCTGACCCTGACCATCACCTCCCCAACCTACCTAAGGGCTCAATGAAGGGGGACAAGCTCAAGGAGCAAGACCCTTGCCCTCCCCCACCCATCCAAGGGCTCATGAAGGGGGACAAGCGTGAGGAGCAGGGGCTGGGCCCCGAACCTGAAGTCCCCCAGCAGCCCACAGAGGAGGAGGAGGCTCTGATCGAGTTCCACCGTTCCTACCGAGAGCTCTTCCAGTTCTTCTGCAACAATACCACCATCCACGGTGCCATCCGCCTGGTGTGCTCCAAGCACAACCGCATGAAGACGGCCTTCTGGGCCGTGCTCTGGCTCTGCACGTTTGGCATGATGTACTGGCAGTTTGCCCTGATGTTTGAAGAGTACTTCAGCTACCCTGTCAGCCTCAACATCAACCTCAACTCTGACAAGCTCGTCTTCCCTGCTGTCACAGTCTGCACTCTCAATCCCTACAGGTCAGTCCGTCTTCTGCCACTTGCCTGACACCTGGAAGAGTGGTCAGAGGACATCCGTCAGGCAGAACCCGCAGGCCCAGGGGGAGGAGCTGATGTTCTTGTGCCCAGATTGATCCCCTCTGGGCAAGATAGGGAGTCCCCCCTCCCTACTTGGTGGAATGGCATTCCTGCCCAGTGGAGCCAGCCTCACCCACAGAGGAGTGCTGGACGAGCAGGGCACTCCATTCCCATCCCTCTTCTTCCTGAAAGGGGGAATTGAGGAGGTGGACATACTGATAATTTCCAAAAGGGCAGGGTCGAGCTCAGCCCCACTACTTCCTGGAGCAAGATGACAACCTTCTAGAACAAGGTCTCTGCCACTTCTGCAGAAGGATCTGATGTAGGGCTGGGGTGTAGCTCAGTGGTAGACTGTGTACTTAACATGTGCAAAGCCCTGGGTTCAATCCCTACAAATAACCACCACCACCACCACCATAAAAAAAGAGTCTAATGGAGAATGAGGCCAGGTGAGGTGAGGCCAGGCCATGCAGGTGCCCTGGAGGTGGGTGAGGTCAGTCTTTGTGTGGAAGGGGAGCCTTGTTGTGGAGAAAGCATTGTGTGTGGGGTGGGTGGAGGTTAGGGCTTAAAGCAAGCCTTGAGGGTGGGGGTTAGAAAAGCTAGAGAAAAATGGGGTAGGATAGAGAGCCGCCCCTTGTCCACTGTTCCCAAAAGATCCTGCTAAGATATGGAGGCCCCTGCTCAGGTGCCTGACCTCCACAGGCTTGTGTGTGCCTTGATATTTTTGGGTTTCATCAGCACTCTTTGCCAATTCTAGTCTGGAAATTAGAGAGGGTGGTAACCATGGAGAAGAGAGGAGGGCAGGGCTGTTTACATATACCTTTTATTTGTATTCACTCAGTCCTGCCACACCTTGGGAACACCTGCGTAAAGCCAGCCACAGTGCTAGGCCCAGAGAAAATGGATTCATTAATAACTCAACAACCTTGATTGGAGGTACTTAGCTCTAGGTAGTGGGGACACAAAGCTAAAATAAGGTGGAGAGGTAGGAATATAAACAAATAACTGCAGTACACTGTGATAAGTATAATGAAAATCATGAGTCAGTCTGCCTTCTAGGAGTGCAAGATCTTTTATGAGTCTTTGTATGCACATGAGTGTATGAGCACACCCACTGGGAATGTGTGTGGTTATGGATGGTTGGGATTGGTTACATGTTGCGGGTGGAGGCCCCTCATATAGTCTGTTGTGTCCTAAGGTGCATTGTGAACTAATAAGGGTTGGGAAGTCCTGTTCTGGAGAGAAAATACTCTCTTCATATAATATCCAGGGCAGGGGCCACTTGCTGAGTAAGCTACTGTATGCAGCAGCCACTGCTAAGTGCTGACAGCCAGCTCATGACATTCTCACAACATCCTATGGAGGCAGGAACTATTATCCCTGTTTTGCACAAGAGGAAACTGAGGCAAAGAGAGATAAGTCACCAGTTCACAGGGATAGTGACTGAACTGTGACTCATCTGTTTGCCCAATCCCCAAACTCTGCTCCTTCTTAATACACAGGATGTAGGACATGGAATAAATGAAATCTCCAATCAGATGATGTTTCCCTCTTATTTCTGGGCCGTCTTTGATTCCTTCCCTCAGCTTCATTTTTTCTGTAAGCTTCCTCCCCCTCTCATTCCCTTAGGCCAAAATGGAGGTGGAGAACATAGCAGGAGCGGGAGGACAGGTCTGGGGAAGGCCATGAGCAGGGTAGTAGGCACTCAATAAATATTTGTGGTTGCAAAGATGTTGATGAGATATGGAGAGGGCAGGGGTGAATCTGTTGAGGCCTGAGTGTCTTCTAGAATTCTTCTGGGGGCCGGTTCCAGGACAGGACAGGATAAAACTGCAGAGAATGGAAATCACAGGAGGGGAGATAGTAGAGGATAGGAAAGGTAGCAGAATACAACAGTTACTAATAGGGCATTATGTAAAAATGTGGATGTGTAACCGACGTGATTCTGCAATCTGTATTTGGGGTAAAATTGGGAGTTCAAAACCCACTTGAATCAAATGTATGAAATATGATATGTCAAGAGCTTTGTAATGTTTTGTACAACCAATAACAAAAAAAAAAAAAGAAAGAAATCACAGTCCTTAGGGGCTCCCAGGTTGGGAGATAGGTGGCTACCGCATAACAATCCCTCCTGCTGGACACACTGTGGTAGAGTTAGGAGGGAGAGAACACTTAGGAAGGAAAGGACGAAGGGAAGGCTCCCAAGCACAGGGCAAGCAGACCAGACACCTCCTTTGTGCTTACTCCTGTGCTGAATGCTTTCTAGATATTATCTCATTTAATCTTTTTAAAAAAAACTTTTTTAGTTGTAGATAGACACAACACCTTTATTATATTATATTATATTTATTTATTTATTATGTGGTGCTGAGGTGCTAAGCCTCACCGGTGCTAAGCAGGTGCTCTACCACTGAGCCATGACTCCAGGCCTCATTTAATCTTTTTCTTTCTTTCTTTTTTTTTTTGTGTGTGTGTGTGGTGCTGGGAATTGAACCCAGGACCTTGGGCATTCGAGGCAAGCATTCTACTAACTGAGCTATATCCCCGGCCCTCCTCATTTAATCTTAAAAAGTGCAGGGAAGTGGGTATTTTTATATATTTAATTTTTCAGATGGGGAAATTGAGGTTTATCAAGTAAAATAACTTGAACAAGTCCACATAGTTAATAATAAAAATGATAACAATAATAGCTATTGCTATGTATATTTATGTGCCAAGCATTTTTCCAAATGAATCAAAACCTGAAGTAAGTTGGGCATGGTGGTGCAGGCCTGTAATCCCAGCAGCTCAGGAGGCCGAGGCAGGAGGTTTGGGAGTTCAAAGCTAGCCTCAGCAATTTAGCAAGGCCTTAAGCAACTCAGCAAGACCCTGTCTCTAAATAAAATATAAAAAGGGATGGGGGGTGGGGGTTGTGGCTCAGTGGTAAAGCGCTTGCCTAGCATGCATGAGACACTGGGTTCGATCCCCGGCACCACATAAAAATAAAAACAAATAAAGGTATTGTGTCCATCTACAACTGAAAATAAATAAATAAATAAATGGAGATGTGGCTCAGTGGTTTAGCGCCCTTGGGTTCAATCCCTGGTACCAAAAAAAAAAAAAAAAAGAAAAGAAATCGGAATTAAATGATATTAAATTATTTAATCCTCACATCTTATTGGAAGTTGGTACCATTATCCCATTTTATGGATGAGGAAACTGAGACCCAGAAAGTTAAGTAACTTGGCCAAGTATAGACAGGTAGCAAGTGGTAAAAACTGGGATTCAAAAATCACTACCAAGAACCAGTGCACCTCAGATAAGCAATCACAAACCAATTTTGTTTGATATCAAAGGGCTCTCTCCCATTACACTGAAAGTCAAGAGCAGGCAAAGGCTTCCCAGGGTTGGGGCAGTGGTAGGAGCCAGTGGGAAGAGTGATAGTAAGAGGAGGGGTACTTTTCAGGAGTCCTGAGCAGGCAGGGATCCAGGCTGGTGGCTCTGTTGGAGGAGAGAGGTAGGGTGGGTAGACAGGCTAATTAATGCCGCTCGGTGAGTGCTAACCTACCCGAGTGTGAGTCAGAGCAGCCAGGCAGAGCAGAGGGAGGAGCTGGGGCAGAGGGAGGAGCTGTGTGGCTCCCCCAGGGAATGAAGGGAAGGTGTCGGAATGGGTTGAGATAGAGGAACTGGAGTGGAGCAGATGGAAGCTGCAGTGTCCACCAGCTGAGGACTGCAGCCACTAGAGGGAGAGTAAAAAGATGGTCCTGCCTATGGGGCTGTGCTGCTTTGTATAATATCCAGGAAAGGGGACAAGGCTGACAGCTGTCCTAAGCAAGGAAGTGCTAAGAATCTGATGGAAAGGGTCCACACCACTGCTGTCCCATTCTTTCTGGCCCACAGAGGGGTTTTTCACCCAAAGGAAATTTCATATTCATATTCATATCCTTGGAACATAGAGCTAGTCCAGACCTAAGGGAAAACCCAGGGTTCTTGAACAATGAATTGTGAAATCTTTTTTTTTGGAGATGGCAGAGCAGGGGCCCTGGTAAACAAGTATGGGAGAGGAGGCTGGGTGTAGTGGCGCATGCTTGTAATCCCAACAGGAGGATTGCAAGTTCAAAGCCAGCCTCAGCAACTTAAAAAGGCCCTAAGCAATTTAAAGAGACCCTGTCACAAAATGAAAAACAAAAAGGCCTGGGGATGTGGCTCAGGGGTTAAAGCCCTCTAGGTTCAATTTCCAATACCAAAAAAAAGAACGAGAGAGGAAAGGGACAATTTCCCAAAGAGAGCCACTTCAGGGAGGGAGAGTAGGTTTGAGCTAGAGAGTCATCCCTGACCATGGGGGGCCCTACAACTCACCATCTGGAATACCAGGCTTTGCTCTGCAGGCCTGGCAGGGAGACAGCTCAGACTTGGACTCCCTGAGCCTCCCATACTGATCGGGTGCTTCTCCAGGCAGAAACCTTATTCCCTCTGCAGTAGCTACTACTAGAAAATTCTTCCTTAGGTAAAGCTGCAGTTTTCCTCCTGGTAACTTCTACCTTTTGGTTCTGCATTTTGAAGTAACATGGCTATTAGTTCAGGTACAGCTGTAACAGCAGCTGCTACTCTGCAGGATACAGAGTGCACTCTCACATTTTGATCTCATATCACGCTGCTTAGATGAGGAGGCAAGTATCCCCATAGACAGATGAGAATGTCGAAGCTTGATAACCTAGAGGCTTTGCAAAGTCGCCCAGCTGTAGAGTGGAGGAGTCAGAATTGGAATCTGCATCTTTAGTTCCACTTTTGGTCAGACCACAAGGTCATGTGGTAGATAAGTGGCAGATGGTGCTCCTTTGTCTCCTTACCTTTTTTTTTTCCAATAATAGTAATAATAATAGTGATGATAATAAAAACAACAGTAGCAGTTGTATAGTTTTTACTCTGCCAGGTACTCTGTCCAGTTCTTTTCCTATACTAACTATTTAATCCTTGTTACAACATTAGAAAGCA